ATGCTGACCGGCAGTGATTTACTCGAAATGAACATGTCGCAGTTGAGTGCCCGCAATTCTTTGCTTTACTCGATCGAACTGTTGATGAAACTGGTAAATATTTACCGTTTTACGTAAAACAGTGCTTTTCAGGTACCACGGCGCCAATAACCATGACCTGTTAAATAAATACTTCGACGCAAATAATAGATAAACACTTTTCATGGCATTCACAGCTTTCATCCGTGGCTGCCAATTTGCCAAGAGCTTTCGTTTTCCAAGGGTGAGAAAGAAGATGCAACAGTCAGACAATATTACATGAAATCACAGCTTCTGCGTACCGTCATCCCATTATCTGCAAGGCCGCAGTGATCACCGCTATAGCCGTCTATGACGCCGCAGAGGTCCATCAAGTTGTTTGCCCCATCTCTGTGGATCTGATGTATAGACATTTAAGAAAACAGCTTGCCAGGTTAGTTGTAAAGCTTGGAGATGTCATCCTCGATGTCGTCGAACGTCCGCTTCATAACAGTATAATAATCTGCAATAATCTTGAACCATCAAGGAACCTGCAGCAAATTGATGCAGTTATAATATTCTGGTGTCAGAATTAAGCTTTCAAACGATAGGATACCTACTCAAATTTAGTTCACCTCTGAAAGTTGTAGGCAGAGCATGCCAGCCGACATATGCTGATGTTTTAAACACCTGGTAGTAGATTAGATTATTAAATCTACTGTAAATCTAGAGAAACCAGTTCTGGCTTATACGAGGTTATTTTAAAACACACGTCGAGGTTTCGTCAACGAGTTGTTGTCCTGATCAGTCATCTGCTTCAACACGAAAATAAGCGTATAGGAAATTTTGACGAATTCGAATATGTGCATAATGAAATTGTGATGTCGCCGTGATATTTCTTCAATCTTGTCATGGCAGATATTTTTTCTTAACTTTACTAGGTGTATTTCTTGATTTGTTTGTTTGATTTTTTCCTTTTCCAAATGTTTGTATTTTTGGTACTGCTTCAAATCACGCACATCAAGTTATTTTTCGAGAAGTCAGTGTTCAATTCGACTTTGCTGCAGCTTTTGCAAAATGTCACTTTTGTACTACAGTTCTGATGTGATAACTGTTCCCCAGTCTGTGGTGGTTCAAGCGTTCACCAAATGACACTGGTTCCACTCTGAAACTGCAGCTACTTGAACATCGTCTGGAGGCAAGCCATAAACAGTTGGAAAAGGCTGCATTTTCTTGTTTTGCGCCATTCTCGACTGTGCACGCCAGGAGGTATCGAATGGCGTTGTAACATCGCTGGAGGAGCTAAACACTGATGAAATTTTGTTTAAATTAAACTTTGATTTTGAAACAAACCGATGATGATTCAGTGACATCTACAACTGTCATTCAGTTACTTTTCAGTGCTATAATCTGGATTCGGAAAATCTACAAACACTCGCCTTGCAGCTTAGCGTTCGTTGTCGCAATCTGCAGAACGATTTGAAACGTGTATCGTCAGCGAACGCTCATCCGAGGCCAGCCCTTTGCTGCGGCCAGCTGCCGGACAGAGTCCACCTTTTACTGGAAATTTCATGTTTAGCCGAAGACACAAAGCGAATCATTTCTTGGCTAGACAGGTAACGATCTTTAGATTTTACGGTTAATTAGGCTTTCAACTATATTGTCATTGCACTTATCCGCACAGTGCACGGTATGTTGTTTAGTATTTTTCTGCTGATGATCGATTCGCATAGTAAGGGATCTCATAAATCTCATATTACGTCCATGTATGAAAAACAGAACAAATGTAGTATCAGATCCTTGCGCCGCGGTGAACTTTGAACGAGCGACCATTATCCCCTTCAGAGAATTTACGGTGTTAGGGTAAAGTTCATCATGCACACTCAAATTTTCTTCAGGATTTCTAAACGTTTTCACCTCTACTAATCTCCCGTCAAGAGTGATCCGCCAGATGCACGCAAGGTAAAATCACGCAAAATTATATAAATACATATTTAATTCTTTGATAATATCACTCTGGAAAACGATTATTTTGTTGCCGTGTTAAAAACAGCAAAAATTGCTTATTTTCTGTAAATTACTGATAGCGGATTTTCACAGCAAGAACCATATTGTCAGGTCACTCAGTCACTTGCTTTATAGCGATATTTGGGCAGCGTAATACGGATTTAAGTCATTACTTCGGGTTTTAGCGCACTTGCTTATAATCGCATTGGGGCACGATTTAAGCAGGCTACGGCTTCATGATATGTAAGCGCCTGCGGTGCATAGGACGCATGTATCACCTCGCATCACCGAGTTACGCCGAGCAGGAACATGTCGAACTAGCATTAACCGCTAACAAAATCGCCGCTATTCGTTGGCAAATACATAGGCGCCTGTATCGTTTTAGAATCAGTGGGGCTGCGCATTGTTGCGGGTCTCTGGTTTAATCACTGCCATCCGTCATACTGTACCGCAATATCGCTTTAAAGTAAGTTACTTTAGTTTACAGTTATCGCCATGTTAATTCCGTATCAGCGGTTAAAAGACAATTCCTGTCGGCGGTGGAATCGGAAAGCAGTCATTCTTTTTAGCTACCTCAGACCACCAAAGTTACATTTTGTTGTTTCCTCTTCAGATTGAATACGTGTTTACTAAAATAACCCAAAACACAGTAGTCAGGTAGGTGACTAACTCATGCAGACAGCACGCACTATTGGCATGCAGTAAGAAAGTGTGACGTTCTTGAGTTGATAATCATTAGGTCACGAAAGCATTCATTGCGCTCTCTTTCGAGCTGTTAATTGTCGTGTTCTTACTAAATGACCCTGTATACGCGTCCGACGCACTGCAGTAGTTTAAATGCCATAGACCTGTCGCCTGTTTACCATTATTCGACGTAGGCGTCTAGATGAATGGAAGCGATGTATTGTTGCAGTGAGCTGGAAGTCGGTGTAGTGACACTTCCATCCGTTTTATACTATCGCACTGTCGATACAAATTAAAAGACTACGTTACAGAACAGTTTATATTCATATATATAATTTGTTTATGCACTGTCGTTGGGAATTTAACGGTATATGTGATTCAGCGCAGAAAGATCAGTAATGACAAGTGCTGGCATTGTCATATCAGGCAGGCCTCTGCTGCGCCTTGCTAGACCGTGATGCCTCAGACTGTGTAAATTTAGCACGACGTTCAGTCGAATCCTTAGTATTGACTCTGTCCATTACGAACCAGTTAGTGAGGACAGTCCGCTGTTGCTTGAAATACTCGATGCAGTGCCACCTTCTAATGCTGTTGGTGCGTAGCGGCAATTTGGTTCTTACATAACCATATATATTCTACAAGTTGACATCATCTTTTACAACTTGGCAGAAACAACCAGAGAATCAAATGGAAAACATTATCTTCGGTGAACAAGAGAACGTTCCAAACAACATCGCACGACGGTTTGAATACATCTCGGTGATGACCACCGATGTGGAAACCTAGTAGCAGCTCCTCAAGAGCGGCATACTCGAGGTTCCTGCTGAATGCTGCCGATTTAAACGGTTTGGTCTGTCGCTTAGAGATCAGTAAAGATCTTCCTGGTGGACATCAGAAGTACAACTGGTAGTTAAAGAGAAGAAGCCACCGTTCGAGAAATGTCTTGGCAACAAAAAGTCTTCAATCTTCAACTCGTATTCGATATGTAGAAGCCTGTAAGGTGGCAGCGAAAACAGGAGAAGGCCAAATCTGATTCCTGGTAGAAGTTCAGTGAGAAGGAGTCGAACTTATACACGGTGAAACAAAGTATTCTGGCAGACCATCCTACAGCTTCAAGGTGAAAAGAACGACACTTCAAGAGTCTTAAAGAGATGATGAGATTCTTCGGAGATGGAGGGAGCACTTTGTGGAACTCCTTAACCCCGAGCAACTGCAGGAAGGTACGGATATTACCATCTCTGTAGATTAAATTGCACAAGCTGTGAAAAGCTTGAAAAATGGAAAAGCTGCTGAAATTGATGAAATACACCCTGAAATGCTCAAGGCATTAATTAGGTGAACAACGCACGGCCTGGCTTACACGTGTCTGTCAAACTGTGACGACACCAGCGTACTGGAGAACGGGAGCACTTGTACCCTAGCTCAAGATGGAAGACCAGATGGAGTGCTCTACTTAAAGTGGCGTTACGCTATTGAGCCTTCCAGGTAAAGTCTACACAATGGTGCTAGAAAGGAGATGCCGCGGTATAACAGACTTCAAGATGCAAGAAGAGCAGTATGAAGAAGATGTTGATACCATATCTCAGGTCTACTCGATGGCCTCTTCGTATTTTTTGTAGGAAACAATCTTTTTAATAATCAGTGGTTTGTTCCAGAGGAAGAGGTTCTTTGCTCCCAACCAAATCGTGCAGAGCTTTGCATGCCTCTTTTACTTGGGCGAAGGTCAGAGCTAAACGTGTGCGTATTTTTATAATCTCGTGTACGTTTTCTTTATTTCATTTAAGTTTCGTTTAATTGATACTCCATATCTTTTCTTCCATGACATTGATCTAAACGAAAACGATCCTTGTAGTCTTGCTTCTGTAAAATTGGCTTCACAGTGCTTCAGATTGAAGTGTCTTTCTGTGGTCTGAGAAACTGCTCAACAAAGTCAAGGTCGACGATAGTTCCAGAATTTTTCACATTAGTTCCTTGCGCAGTTTAGATTGTAAAGAGCTGTGCGAATAATTATTCAGAAATTACGAATGTGCCGTCGACGAACAAGGGGAAGATTTTTCGCTCTGCCAAATACAATGACGGAATATGGCCACAGACATCTGTACCTGAAGTTGAAAGTAGAAAGCTTCTGATCTTGATCTGTAATTGCGCGCTTTCAACTGGGCATGCCCTTGTCGGCGTTCCTTCATCAGAGCATGAAGAGGCTTCGTCAGCACTCTTTTGAATTTGACGCTCGCACTCTGCTAGTCATGTGAAAGAATGCACGTCCTCTACCGCCCTAGATTTTTGTAAATACAGCATATAAACCTACCGAGAATGGAGCAACGGGGGATCTTAATGCCGGGAAACTGTCGTGAAACTTGAACTGGGTCGATGAACGTGGTAATATTAATGAAAGTATGACTCTTTGCCTTGTGTCTATTAGTCCCATACTTTTAGCACAAAAATGGTTTGTTCAGAACAGAAAGAAATCTTTGTTGCCACCGTACCAACACTTAGTTTAGGAGAGAACTATGAAGTTTCTGCTGTTTAGTCTCTGCATGGAAGTTTACTGTTAGATTTACTTGAACCGGTGTTCAGTTGATATTGATACGCGGACTGTTCAATGAAAGAACAAGTGAAGTGGCACAACACCCGAGATGCATTTCTGTGTCATAAAACCCTTGGAATGGTCAAAGTGCTTTGACGAAGTTTGCGCATCTTTTATTGATTAGCATGTATAATTTTTTGCCTTATTTTCCTCCTATCTTTTAGGAACCCGTTTAATATTACTAGCTACTATCGAACTTTTCGAAACTCTGTTCTTCATGTGGTCGTACAAATAATACAGTTAACACAGAATGGGTCCAAGGACATTCTGGAAAACCTGAAGAATATTCAGATGTTGGTAAGTGTTTATGGACATCCTGTACAAACATGCGAGTTTAGAGCTTGTTTTTCAGTTGTTTTTGTCCACTATGTTTTAGTCATATGACTCTTCTTTTTTCGATATGATGTTTTTTGCCTTGGTTTAGTGTACAGAGTTGTGTGCCATTTGCGATCGCCTGGTTGAAGAAACCAAAGACCCGCTTGTCATCCAAACGGCATATTTACGGAAGGTGTATCTCCGAAAGCTGAGGTCCAACGACGAATGGGTATGCAGCTTATACAGCTTGCTTAAGCATCTTTCGTTCAACCTACTACAAGATATGCTATTTGTATAATGCTCTCAGTGAGCTTTCCATTGTGTAAAATACGGTAATATAAGTTGCAAAGGCAATGGAGTTAGACATAATGAAATTGTATAGAATGTAGTTTCATACAGGGAAATTAAGTTGTTCACACTTAAAGAACTTGCGTAATTTCGCCGTCATGAGACAAAGCTGTTATTCTCGAAATTCACTCATTTGACAGACTTTTGCGATGATTCTAAATAAGAGCTATTCGCTAATATGTAGATGACGAAGAGCTCAGAAACGGTACAGAGACAAACATAACCTAATGCTTACATTCAAACTCGCAATCGCACGATGCCTGCTGAAATAGTAGCTTTCCTCAGTCCGAAAAATGGTATCAAAAAATAAAGCGAAAATCTTATAAATTCAGTAGTTTGACAGAAGGTTTGCATTGTCTTACGGTGAACTTCTCATGGAAATGTGATGTGGCAAGTTTGATGTAGCACTTATTCTAGTTGACCACTGTATAATCATATAGATTCTGACTTGTGGCCGCAGGACTGCATATTAACAACTACTGTCGATCAACGCCCAAACCGGCCTCGCTGAATCTTTACATTCTGAGCGTGCCATCAACAGAAGGAAATGGCGAAACCCGTTAGTTGCGAAAAAATATTATTCAATTTTTGTCGTTTTCGTCAGTCGTTTAATGCCTTTATGTCTCTAATACACTTTAGGGTATTAATCTCGAGTCACCGTACCGTGGCGTACATTTCATATCCAGTATTCGCTTCCAGTCACCAGCTGATCTCTGCGGCAAGGTGAACATCGGCGACGAAATCGTTGAAATTGACGACCAGGTCGTGGTATGCATCTGAATCTTAGCTTTACATGTTTCATTGCCTTGTTATTAAAAATATGAAATTTTTACTGCACTCTGTGGACGATTACTACCGAGTCTTTTGTTCTATTGTATATAGTGTTTTATTGACTATGTGGACAAAATATAACTCCAATTCTGCTTGTAATCATGACATTTAAATTACTGATACGGGATTTACTCCCCATAAACGCACACCTACCACTTGCTTCTAGTAGCACATCGCAGACCACTGACACAGGATCTCAATGATGAGTTTATCTGAACAGTGGCGCATTTCAGCTGGGACTCGGGGATGTGGTCCTTCATTCACTTCACTGCATCTACTCAAATCCCATGCAGCAGTGTTGGTTTGCTAGAAGCAAGGGGTGTTGCGCTTACTTTGATTAGATTCAATACCAGAAATTACAACGTTTATTGAATATGGTAAATGATTTTATTATGCAGAACCTCACGCAATATTTCGGATGAGCAGTGCATAAGGGTTTTATTTTCCAATGTCGTTTCACACCAAGCTCGATCCGTCTTGAGGATAACCAAAAGTTATACATTTTGCTATTTAGTACTGTGAAACCTCACTTAATAACTTAGACCTCTATACAGTTGGCAAAACGCATGGAACATGTTATGACTCTTCTGGTACCTTCATATCATGCTCGTGTTTTCAGATTGGATGGCAGCGAAAATGTCTGCTGTCGTTGTTGAAATCGAAGGAGCATCATGCTTGCCTCGTGCTTAAAAAACACCCGGAAAATACCTGTTCTGTCGCGAAGAGCTTTACCGGAAAGCCCAAGTTCCTGACAGCCGACATTACGCGTGCTAAATGTAGAAAAGAGCGCAGGCGTTCCGCTAGCGTCATGCTTATACCGGTGTCGTTTGAATGTTGTGGTCAAAATGTTGAGTTTCCAAAAGAAGGGTGAGGCATTTTGCTGGGCACAAGTCATATTCCATGTTCACAACTGAGCCTCTCCGTTCTTTCAGAGCCAACACCTTAGGGCCTCAGGCGCAATCAATTACTCTCTGCGTCAATGGCGAAGACAGCGATTCGGTTGCTCTCGTTAGCAAAAGCTCTACGCGACGAAGGGCGACGATCAGCGTTGGTATGTTAATTTTGTTCTGTATTTGGTTCTTTGCTACCTGTTATTTGCTGTTTGTTATTTTATTTCCTTCAGACTGAAATAGACCTGTACCTATTGGTCTTCATTGCTGATCTAACGGACCTGGTGGTCAAAGGCTTTGCAATGTCATAATTAACATTCCATGACGCAGCCTTTTTTGTATCAAC